CTGACCCCAGGTACTGACGCGACTAAGGGAAAACGGTGCCCAGCTATCCAAACACCACATTGCATTGCTATTTAAAAATCGTCTCTCAGTATAAACAAGAAGCATATGTGAGTTTGGGTTCTTTTACACAATCTTTTTTTTTTTAACTTGGAATAAAAAAGTTTAGATCGAAATATATCAATGATTCTGACAGAACATAAAAGTTGAGATTAAGAAGTTGAGGTCTGCAGCCACACAGACAGGTATACTCTAAATTACAGGTACAAGTAAGAACATATAAATTACAGGTAGGAACATATAAATTACAGGTAAGAACATATAAATTACAAGTAGGAACAAATAAATTACAGGTTGCAACATATAAATTACAGGTAGGAACGTATAAATTACAGGTAAGAACGTATAAATTACAGGTGAAAACATATAAATTACAGGCAAAAACATAAATGACAGGTAGAAACATATATGTTACATGTAGGAACACAAATTACAGGTAAGAACATCTGTCACTTGGTGTTATATTAAGCTATTCCTTCCTCGGGGTGACTCAAGGTTGCTTTATTTATGTAGTAAGACAAAGAGCGTGAGTCAGACACTGGGTTGTGTGTGTGTGTGTGTGTGTGTGTGTGTGGAGAGAGAGAGAGAGAGAGAGAGAGAGAGAGAGAGACATGATATCTTGATAATAGTCTCTCTCTCTCTCTCTCTCTCTCTCTCTCCACACCACAGACCAATTTTCCTACACCTGATTTAATGTATGAGTTATCTAATCAGTGCCAATTACGTGGGGCGTCCTGATTATATAGAAATTGTATCTAATTACAGTTAATCGGTTCCTTCCAGGCAGAACATGACTACAAAGTTATAATGAGTCTTCGTTGAGCAAGGAAGAGACGAAGGAGGAAAGCTTCTATCCCCCGATCGGTGTGTCGTCTGCCGAGAGTCTCACTGTTAGGCCCCGATCGGTGTGTCGTCTGCCGAGAGTCTCACTGTTAGGCCCCGATCGGTGTGTCGTCTGCCGAGAGTCTCACTGTTAGGCCCCGATCGGTGTGTCGTCTGCCGAGAGTCTCACTGTTAGGCCCCGATCGGTGTGTCGTCTGCCGAGAGTCTCACTGTTAGGCCCCGATCGGTGTCGTCTGCCGAGAGTCTCACTGTTAGGTTTGATTCTTCTTGTTTGTTGATAAAATACGGAGTTCTTTATGTTGTTGTTGTTTTAACTCACTCAGGGTACATGTTTTTTTTTTTTTTTTTAGCTTGTATTTAAAACATCCCTGTATTTGTTTTGTTAAAGTTAGGTTAGGTTAGGTTAGACTAGGCTAAGTTAGATTAAGTGTGATTTAGATTAAGTTAGGTTAGGTTATGTTAAAGAGGGTTAGGGTAAGTTAGGTTACGTTAAGTGTGATTTAGATTGGGTTAGGTTAGTTTAGGTAGGCTTAGGTTACGTTAAGTGTGATTTAGATTGGGTTAGGTTAGTTTAGGTAGGCTTAGGTTTGGTTAAGTGTCAATTAGATTAGGTTAGGTTAGCATTAGGATAGTTAATGTTAAGCTGAATAACCCGGGGGACTAATACTTAGGTGAACCCAAACACTTAACTGTGAATATGAATACCTTACCTCTCTCTCTCTCTCTCTCTCTCTCTCTCTCTCCTCACTGACTCACCACAGAATACATTTTCTTGTGTTTTTCTTCTGCAACTCAATTCTGCAGATGGATAAAAAGACGATGGAAATTTTTCATAAAAGATAAGAGGGATCACTTGAGAGTCTGCATTGCATATTAGAGAGAGAGAGAGAGAGAGAGAGAGAGAGAGAGAGAGAGAGAGAGAGAGAGAGAGAGAGAGAGAGAGAGAGAGAGAGAGAGAGTCACTTGCCAATATACCACCGAGTGATCATTCCTCACTCTCACCTCAGCACCCAGGTAACTCCTATACACCAATACCTTCATCCTAACTCAGGTTCACAGGTAACTTACTTATGCTTATGTTTCCTTAACTTCTACGCGACCTTAACCAACCGCCCGTCATCTTGTCGTTGGTAAAGTAAGGTAGTTAGGGAATAGTTAACGTTCTGATCTAAGTGAGGCTTCATCTGGACACCCGCTTATCCGTACACTCACTTAGCCGGCAACTCGCTTATCCGGCCATTCGCTTATTCGGACGCTCGCTTCCCTTGCTCGATTTAGACACTGATGGATGTTGGGTGGGTTAAGGTGAAGTATTTTGGGCAGTTCTTTAAGATGGATCACTCAGGTTCATGTTTGACCTTGGTTAGTGATGGTGATAATGGTGAGATGGTGTGATGATGATGATGGTGGTGGTGAGATGATGATGGTGTTGAGATAGTGATGGTGGTGTGATGATGATGGTAATTATGATAGTGATGGTGTTGAGAAGATGGTGATGGTGGTGTGATTATGGTGTTCGTTTTTGGTGAGATGGTGATAGTGGTAGTGTTGATGAGATGGTGATGATGGTGAGAGGGTGATAGTGGTGCTGGTGATGATGATAGTGATGAGATAATGATGGTGGTCTACTTTATTTATGTATCTTTATCTATTCTCTTCTTTAATAAATTCCTTCTCACTTCCTATCTCCTCTTTCTTAACAATTACTAAGTCATTTATCCATCATTCCTCGTCATCTTCAATTTTCCTCTTCATTCCTACTTCATTTCTTCTTTATTTTTAATCTTCTATCTTTCTTCCCTTAGGACATAATCTTGTCTTGGTGTGTGTGTGTGTGTGTGTGTGTGTGTGTGTGTGTGTGTGTGTTTGTGTGTGTGTGTCACATCTTCCAGGTGTCATGTCAGAGCTCCAGCCTGTGTGTGTTTTTCAAGGGATTATTCTCTCTCTCTCTCTCTCTCTCTCTCTCTCTCTCTCTCTCTCTCTCTCTGGCGTCTAAGGCTTCTGCATATATTAAGTCTCACCTCTCAGTATTCCTCTGCTTCTCTTGCCCTCTCACTCCCTATCACTCTCACTCCCTCTCAGCATATATATACCTTGACTTTACACTCCCAAATATCCCTTGTATATACACCTGAGTTTTATATAGTTTTATATACTGGATATTCCTCGCATCTTGAGGTTCACGGACATACCATCTTACCTAATTCTAAAACACAATTTAATTTCTATACCAGCACCCAAACGTACTCGAGTAGTTAAGATTAGATTAGATTTATCTTTTCTTGTTTTCCTTCTTTATTTTTTGCATCTCTCTTGTAGTGGACCCATACTAGGTCACCGATTTATTGAGTACCGTCTTGTGTGTCTTTATTTTGGAGACGATGGAGGCATGGTTAGGTTAAGCTGGCTTGGGTTGGATTGGGTTGGGTTGGGTTGGGTTGGGTTGGGTTGGGTTGGGTTGGGTTAGGTAGATTCACAATTTCATGTCACCAATATCATTTAGGTAACACTATGAGTAGGTATATCAACAAGTAGGATAAATTTTCATTAACCTGGTCAGGCATCAGGTATCATGGTCAGGCACTAGGGGTCAGGCGTCACAGGTCATGGTCAATTGTCAGGGATAGAGTGTCAGGGTCAAGGTCAGTAGTCAGGTGTCAGAGGTTAGGCGTCGGATGTCAGGGTCAGTGGACAAACGTCAGGTGTTAGTGTCAGGCTTCAGGTGTCAGGCGTTAGTAGAGGTCAGGGTGGGGAGGTGTGAGTAGTAACAAGGGTAAACAAACACAGAGACATCAGGCTATGTTATGGCTGAACACGTGTTAGTGCTCAGCCACATGTTTTATTACATGTTACTTTGGCACATATATTTACAAATACACAACAAGGAGCATTTATGATACGGCATGTCACTCCATCCATTTATGATTTTAATATTATTTTTTTTTAACGTTTAGAGGAAAGTTTTAGTGGAGAAGAGCAATAAATTCATTAGTAATATCTTCTATGACATTAACCCTTAGAAACTTTTATAATTTTTTTTGGGGGGGGGGGGCATTAGAGAAATAACATCATGATGACTCAGCATATTTCTTCGTCCCTTGGTTATTTCTTCACTTTATTGAATGAAGAATAAATTAAAAAATAAAATCCATCTAGCAATTAAAAATTTAATTACCCTCAAATATATTTTTTTACATTTTGTTATTTTCACTTACGAGTTAATTAGAAAAAATTGTGTCCACGATTACTTCATTACGATCAAGAAAATTAAATTAGAGTATAAAAAAATCTCATCTGACAAAAATATAATATATGGAAAACCTACACAGAGCCTCAGGGGTATATGAACACGGTGGCTGCCTCTGAGGGTCAACCAGCGTCAACACCCATTATAGGAACACACCCACACAACTGCCAGTCTTAGCAGCTTCAGCAGGCATTATTAGTAGTAGTATTTGGTCACTATTTATAAATATAATTCTGATCTCTGTTGCCTATCTTTTGTCTTTGTCACTTTTTTTTGTAGTTTCTCGGCTCTACTTGTCTGTCTGTCTGTCTGTCTGTCTGTCTGTCTGTCGGCATGTCTATAATTATCTCACTATCATTCTCTAATTCTCTCGTTCTTCCTTTTCTGTTTTTTTTTCGCCATTTACCCTGTTCTCTTTTCTGTCACTCTGCCTCTTCCTTCATCTGTCTCTTTCCTGTCTATCTCGTTATCTATGTTATTATCTATGCATCTATCTAGTTAGCCATCTGTTTATTAATTTGCCTGTTTTTATTCCTTTCTGTCTCTCAGTATCTTTGTCTTGTCTATTCGATCATTTATCTTTCACCATCATCCGTCTATCTGTCTGTCTGCCTCTCTGTCTGTCTGTAAGTATCTCTTTCATTTCTCTTTTTCTGCTTCCTAATTTCTCTTTCTTTCTCTCCGCTCCAACCTGATACTCTCGGGCATTCTCACTTATTTTTTCCTCCACTCCTCCACTCCATCTTCTCTCTTCCCTTTCTTTCTCTATAACTGTCTATATATTCCCTCTGTCCCTCCTACAAATCCTCTTACTTCTCCTCTTCTCTCTCTCTCTCTCTCTCTCTCTCTCTCTCTCTCTCTCTCTAAAATTGTCAACATATATCTCTGTCCTTCCCACACTCCTCTTACTTCTTCTCTTCTTCATTTTCTTCCTTTTCCTCCTCCTCCTCTTCTACTCCGTTACTCTTATAAGACGCTTTCGGTGGACTCTGTCTGGCGGGATTGTCTGGTAGCGGCAATCTTCCACACCTCAAAGAATTTCGACTCGTGTGGGCTGGTCAGTTGGCTGATGACCCTCCGCCAGGGGGCCTCTGACTTCTTCCCCGCTCCTTCGTTGCCTTCGTCTGCATCTCCACCACCTCCTCCTTTCGCTGTTCCCCTTCCACTTCCATCACCTCCTCCTCTTCCATTGGCTCCTTCTCCTCCTTTCGTCCCTCTTCTGCCGTTCATCACATCCTTGGCGCCTTTGCTCAACGCATCGCCTGACGAAGGAGTGGCGGCCGAGGAGGCAGAAGAGGAGGATCTTCCTTTCCTAGAGAGGGAGAACTTGCTGTACGCTGCAGGAGGCTCGGGTTTGGCCCCAGCAGCAGAAGCGGTCGCAGCGGTAGTGGTGGTGATCATGCAGTTGGTCTGGTAGGTGTCGCCCTGCAAGGTTAAAGGGTTTGGGGTGTTAATGGAAGGAGCAGAGGTGGAGGGATGTGTTGTGGCGATGGTGAGGCACTTGTGTGTGAGAGAGAGAGAGAGAGAGAGAGAGAGAGAGAGAGAGAGAGAGAGAGAGAGACAAGCTTTTCACACCAACGATCTTCACCACACAAGCCAAAATAAAACAACACCAGCCTCACAACAGTAATTGCAAAGTGACCTCAATTTCACTTCTCTTGTCTCGGAAATTTTATTAAGGTTTTCTGAAGAAGATTTTGGGTCGCAGTTTTTGCTCTCTCTTTCTGTCTAGACAACATAAAAATTTAAGCTCTGTTACCCTTGAAAAGATTCTATGAAGACAAAGACCAGCAGAGGAGATGAGACGTAGCGAGGAAGATGGTGTGAGAGAGAGAGAGAGAGAGAGAGAGAGAGAGAGAGAGAGAGTAATCTCAGCTCAATAAACCAACACTTATAATAAAGAGCAATAATAACAGAGACTATCAGAATTCGCCATTGCCAAAGCCTTTCAGAGGTCACCCCGGCGCTCTGGGCTGAATCATACAGTATATCCCTGAAGTATTTTGCCAGCGGCGGATATTAACAAATTTCTGATGCAAATTACTTCCTGGAGTAACTGCAGCAGAGTTTCTCATTAATACTCATGAACAGTGAGGTCATATATATATATATATATATATATATATATATATATATATATATATATATATATATATATATATATATATATATATATATATATATATACTATTTAAACTATCTTGGCTAAGCTAAGATGTATAATCAGACCAATACCCGTCCTTAATGACCTGACTCATGGATGAGTTTCTCACGTGAGGTGTTTTTCAAGTGTTACTAAATGCAGTTAGTGACAAAAGCTCTATTACCTAAACAATAATGAAACACGAAATATAATGGGTAGAGATGGGGCGACTGCTGAAGGATAGCGAGAAATTCAAATTGAAAATGAGAGATTAATATAAATAATGCCCTGGAGGACGCCGGCCTGAGTCACTAACCTGCTGTAGGTGAGCGAAGCCTCGGTACCTGCCCGTAGAGTCGTAGATAGTGTGTTGCACCACACCGTTGACACACAGTCCCTCCATCCCCTCACCTCCCACACCTGCCGCAGGGAGAGACATCCTTCAGGTGAAACAACTTATATTACTGTTAATGTTAACTACATGTTGATATTACCACCAGTCAAATAGTAGTCAGTGTCTGATATTTATGTCTCTGTCTGTCTCTCTCTATCCATCTAGCTATCTAGCCATCTATCCATCTAGCTATCTAGCCATCTATCCATTTAGCTATCTATCCATCTAGCTATCTATCCATCTATCCATTTAGCTATCTATCCATCTAGCTATCTATCCATCTAGCTAGCTATTCATCTATCTATCTAGCTATCTATCTGTCAAGGGTTCATCTATATAAGCTAATATTAGTTTCAGTGAAGGCGACAAAAACCAAATGAAATAAGCTGACGTTAAGTTCTTATTTTTTGCTTAATAAAAGAAAATGTAATATAATATTTTTATACGCTGATTCTCTTGACATAAGCACTAATAATTACCTCTTATATCTCTGTATTATAATTAAGTTCATATCTATAATACGTTAAATGGAGTTTACATAACGTTTATATTAGTTAATTTTTTACCTATTGTAGTTTTCGTCTCTTATGAGGGAAGTACGATTATATATATATGTACATATATATTAGAGCAAGCTATGTAAAAATTCATAAATACAACAGATATATATATATATATATATATATATATATATATATATATATATATATATATATATATATATATATATATATATATATATATATATATATAAGAGTTCTATAATAGTTCATCTACAGTTTACTCGTTCCAACATTTCATACATTCAGCTTAACTGTTTATTCCCAGTATTTAAAATTCACCATCAAAGAAATGCACTCAGGTAAATGAGAACAGCTGCGTGTAATTCTCATCCTCCATTGAAACACCCAACTCATAACCCCCTATGGTACTTTACCCACGAACCCAACCCAACCCAACTCAACAGTGAAAGTCTCTATATAACAGACTCTCGTCTCCATATAGTCCGTTAAATGGAGGTTTTACATCCAATAGACCCTCGATATAACGGACTTTCCTCTCCATACAGGCCGATAAAACAATGATACTCAGTGAAGATTATCTGTTAACACATATGTATTAGAGTATCAATTGAGTATAACAACGAAATATAGCTTAATCAGGGATGAAATTATCAATACGAACACAAACAAAATTATATTCACGTTCATCCAAAGCTTAGAACACGGAGTCAATTATCAGGAGTTAAGAAAGAAATAAAATGCTAAATGAATAAGTAATTAAGAATCGAGAATATAAATAACTACCAATAATATTCCTATTTATAAGATTTTGTTTGATCTACGAATTCCCAGAAGTAATTAATGTTTTCCTTTTAAAGTTCCCATCTATACCACAGCCCCAGGAAGAAATACTTACGAACAGTGAGAGAGAAGGAGCCAGCGTAGCGCCCTGATTGACTCCTTCATCAACACCCACCATCTTGGGGGAGAATGCGGCGAGAATTTTTCAATCTCACATCTTATTAACTCGGGGTTGCACAAGAGGTTTGGAGGGAAGGGGGAAGAGGGGGGTAAGGTTAGGTTCTTGGTGGGTGTTAAGCTACTGAAGGAGGGAGTGAAGGGAAGGAGGTGAGGTAAAGCTCTGGTGTGCAATAGTTAGGTTACAGGAAGGTGAGGAATTTCAAGAAGGAAATAGTTCAATAACGAGTTTCCAAGAGGAGAAAATGTGTGAGTGTTTGGTGATCGTTGTAGCTCCCCAGAGACAAGAGGCAACAGTTTGTGTTCTATGGGTGTATACGTCATCAGGGAGAGACGCCAGTATTTAATCCGAGCAGAGTTGAGAGTCTTCTCTCCTGACCTGACTGATGGGTAGTGTTTACGGCGTGTGATGGAGGGAGGGTTTCAGAAATGTTGTTTAATTAACACAGGCAATGATTAGTTATTAGTCAACAGTTGTCTCGTGTCTTTACGGGCGAGGATACAGGAGGCGTTATGGCCGGGCCAAGGGTTTCTGTCTGTATGTTTTTATGAGTCACACAGGTTGGGCATCTCACTGGTGATGTAATGAAAAACTCTCTCTCTCTCTCTCTCTCTCTCTCTCTCTCTCTCTATATATATATATATATATATATATATATATATATATATATATATATATATATATATATATATATATATATATATATATATATATATATATATATATATATATATATATATATATATATATATATATACCTCCATCTTCAGGTCCACCGAACTTGCTGGTTGCAGATCCTGTTAACAGAGGAGGGGAGGCGGTCAGTCCGCCCCCTCACCAGGGAATAGAATCTTGGCCAGGAAACACAAATGGTTCTTAGATTTAATGGAAGAAGGGTTAGGGGCGGACGACCCCTTGTAACCGAGATGCAACAACGACCATGCCAGCTGGTGGAGGCCAGCTGAGGCAGCCTCGGTGAGGCACGACCCAAACTAAAGAAGTAAAGAAGTGGACGGAAAGAAAGAGGAAAAGATATTGAGGGAGAGTTGTCAGGTAGAGGACGGCGGGTCTGTCACAACCAGGGGCCAGGCTGCATCTTTCTCACAGCTGGAATATAGACCTGACTCCCACAGTGGCGGTGAACTGACGGCAAACATCCATAAAAAACAAGAGAGTTATAGAGGTCTTTTATTACATCGTCACAACTATAAAACAAGGTGGTGTAACAGTGAACAAAAGACTGAGTAAAGAAACACCTCCGAGTCAGAACCAAAAGAAAGATCGTTTTCTATAGGAGTCTCAACGATAGGAGGGAAAACTTAATTAAACACCAGGTTATGGAAGTGAGAGTGAATCCCATGGTCCAGAAAGCCAATTAGGGAGAATATGAACCCACACAATGACTACTGATCTTTCAATCCCTCAGAAAAGACAGACTAGTTGGCACTGTACTCGATCACCTTCATCACCTCAACTGTAAAGACAAGTACCGATACAGCAGCTGAATGTCCTGTGAATGTCCCAAGCACGAACCAGCGACCCCTTAGGATAGAAGACGAGAGATGCATCCACTCAGCCACCGCACCCCTCATGACCCTCAGTTACAGCACAAGAGAAATGGAATAGTGTAATTTTCACAGATGGTCGAGGGGATACTGTCAGCAATAACCAAGTGACAGACAGACAGTCAGACAGACAGACATGTGTGAAAGGGGGCCGTAGAGCAAGACGTCCACACTGCATGTAGGTGAAGGAAATCGTAGCAGGAATGAAGGAAACAGAAAAAATGTTGACTTATATACCACACCTTGACACTTAAGCTATGACGTCAACACGGAGAGTAGAGAATAACAGTGAATCAGATAGAACAACAACGACAATAACAATAACTCTCTCCCTCATTCTCCAACACTTTCTCAGTTCTATCCCTCATTCTCCAACAATTTCTCAGTTCTCTCACTCCTCCAACACTTTCTCATTTCTCTCCCTCATTCTCTAACAGTTTCTCAGTTATCTCCCTCATTCTCCAAAACTCAATTCTCTCCCTCACTTCCTCCAACAGCTGCACCACCACCACCAAGCCTGAACCATTTCCTCCACCACCACAAGTTTCACGTATTTTCTCTCATCTGCTTTTTATCTGATTCTTCTTTTTTATTTCTGTTTCCATATTTACTCTTCCCCGCTTGACTTATTTTCTCCTATATATTTTTTTTGTTATTCTTCGACTGTTTTTTCTCCATTTTTTAAGTTATTCAGGTTTTTTCATTATTATCATCGTGTTGTTGTTCATTATTCGTATTTATTTCCATTTTTATCATATTTTTTTATTTATTATTTATCTACGTCTTCTTCCCTTGTTTGCTATTCATTTCATATATAAATAAGAGAATCATTGTCTCTATCTCAGTTCGTACGTTATTAAAAAACCTCTATTTAACGGATTATATGGAGAGAAAAGTCCGCTATATGGAGGGATCTCTGCTGGCTCTATTCCTTTGTTTTATTTCCTTCGTTTTATTTTTTGTGTTTATCTATGATTGTGTCTGTACCCAAGGTCGGTCATGGACCCTTAATAGTGCACACAATTATTATTATCATCATCATTATCATTATCATTTTCAATATTATTATTATTATTATTATTATTATTATTATTATTATTATTATTATTATTATTATTATTATTATTATTATTATTATTATTATTACTATTATTATTATTATTATTATTATTATTATTATTATTATTATTATTATTATTATTATGGAGATTCTTATATTTTACTGCAGTGAAAGTTGGAACAGAAAAAAAGAAAATATATGTATTAAGATGTTGAGAGAGAGAGAGAGAGAGAGAGAGAGAGAGAGAGAGAGAGAGAGAGAGGAAAACGAAATTAAACAAGGAACCAGACTTCAGTATATACGTTCAACTTTAATTAAGAGAGAAAGTTGTGAGATGACAGTGATGGAGGGGTGAACTCTGCTAGGAGGAAGAAGAGGAGGAGGAGGAGGAAGAGGAGAGAAAGAAGAAGAGGAAGAAGTAAAAATAAATATTTACTTAAGTTTAGGATTTTTTCTTGTGAGAGGATGAGATATATAAGACAGGTGACCTTATAGTTATACAGGTGAAATGAAACAGGTGAGGCACATATACGCACACACACACACACACACTCACCACTCACACTCTCAAACACACACACTTGTCACAATAATTCTCAGTGGTCTTCTCCCTGGGTGCGTCATTCGTCACGGAGAGAGAGAGAGAGAGAGAGAGAGAACAAGGTGTCCCTCACATATTTTAGACTAAAGAATGTGGTTGTGTTTTGTGAAGGCGAGAACGTATGTGTTAGGAAGAAGAATTGTTGTACAGTAATACAGTATAAGAATTAGACCAACGATATTAATAAGACTACTATAACTACTACTACTACTATAACTACTACCTTTTTAATTTTGGCCTCCAGCCTCCCCCAATAGCCACACCTTCGCCACCATTTATTTACCTTAATATTAAATATCCTAATACATAATAAGCTAT